AGTCGATGGACGTAGTCTGATTTACCGAAATCATTACTGCTCCGTGGTGTGAAGAATTCCCCAGGCAGACGCAATGTCGTGCCGTATACAAGTTCAGCGGCGGAACATTGGATATCTGCCTTCAAACTCGTTCTGATGCCTAAGAGAACGAGCGGTAAGGTTTCGTACCAATTGTCGTTTTCGTGTGCTCGGAGAGCACTTTTAAGTTGGCGGTGAAACCTTTCGACTAAACCATTCGATGCTGGATGGTAGGCGGTGGTGCGTATGCGTTCCGTACCAAGCAGCCGGGTCAGTGAGGAGAATAATGCGGACTCAAATTGTTGTCCTCGGTCAGTCGTGACAGTCGAGGGACAACCGTACAATGCTATCCATCGTTCTACGAAGCGGTGAGCAACTGTCTCCGCCGTAATAGACGTGATGGGAATAGCTTCGGGCCATCTTGTAAAACGGTCAATGCACGTGAGTATGTGATCATACCCATGCGATGGTGGCAATGGTCCTACAATGTCTATATGAACGTGATCAAAGCGAGCATCAGGCGTAGCGAACGTGCCAATGGGGGCAGCTACGTGCCTGTGCACTTTTGATCGTTGACACTGTAAGCATTGCTTTACCCACATACGAACATCTTTATTCATGGACGGCCAGACGTATCGTGCAGCGATGAGGCGTAATGTGGCTGCGATACCTGGATGAGACAATCCATGAAGGGCATCGAAGACGAGACGGCGATAGGTAGAGGGTACGATGGGTCGAGGAAGACCGGTAGACGTATCACATAGGATAGTACCTGAGCTAGTAGCTAGGGGTACTTCCTGACACTGAAGGGACGAAGATTGTGGTGCTTCTGTACAGACAGGATCGTTTGCTTGCGCGGCGGCCATAGCAGGAAGATCGAGCACCGGTAAAGTAACTGCATTCGTCTGGATACGTGAAAGAGCATCGGCAACATAGTTCGACTCGCCTTTAATGTGACGAAGGTCTGTCGTGAACTGTGAGATATAGTCCAAATGTCTGCACTCTCGTGGTGAGTAGCGGTCAGACTTGGTATGCAGGGCATACGTTAAGGGCTTATGGTCGGTGAATAAGATGAATTGACGTCCTTCTACTGCGTGCCGGAAATGTTTGATGGCGCAGTAGGCTGCAAGCAGCTCGCGACCAAAAGCGCTATATCTCGTCTCCGTGGGAGTAAGGCGTCGTGAGAAAAATTCAAGGGGTTGCCAACTACCGGAGATATTCTGTTGCATAACGGCTCCTATGGCAAAATCCGATGCATCAACCGCTATACTAAGCGTGGCTGATGGGTCAGGATGAGCGAGGAGTGTAACTTCGGCGAGAGCCGTTTTGATCTCTGAGAATGCAGTACGTGCGGTATCGTTCAGTTCTAATTTGCGTGGATTACCGCGTAGTAAATCGGTTAATGGTCGTAACCGTTCTGCCGCGTGAGGGATAAAACGTCGGTAGAAGTTAACCAAACCGAGAAAAGCCTTCAGTTCCTTGATTGAGGACGGCACGTTGTACTCCTTGATTGCTCGAACTTTGTCCTCGCAAGGCAGAATACCCTCTTGTCTGATGATGTGACCCAGAAATATTATTTCTGATTTACCCAATTCACATTTTTCTGGGTTGACTACTATTCCATTATCCGAAAGACGTTGGAATAATAGCGTAAGGTGTTGATAATGTTCATCTACGTTTGATGATGCGATCAGCAGGTCATCAATATAGACGTGAACAAAATCCAAGTCTCGTACTATGCTATCGATAAACCTTTGGAAAGTTTGAGCAGCATTCCGTAATCCAAATGGCATTCGTAGGAACTCAAACAGACCGAAAGGAGTCGTGATAGCAGTTTTTTCGATGTCTTCAAGAGCGACTGGGATCTGGTGATATGCTCGTACCAGATCGATTTTAGAAAAGATAGTCGTGCCCTTGAGCGATGCCGTGATGTCGTGTATGTGGGGGATGGGGTAGCTATCAAAGCGCGTAACTACGTTTAATGCTCGGTAGTCGCCGCATGGTCTCCAACTAACCCCATCCTTTTTGCGCACCATATGTAAAGGAGAGGCCCAAGGACTGTGAGAAGGACGAATAATACCAGAAGATAGTAAATTGTCAAACTCACGTTTAGCGAAAGCTAATTTGTCCGGTGCCAGTCGGCGTGGTCTTGCCGTGACTGGTGGTCCGCGGGTGACTATGTGGTGTACCACACGATTGGTCACCGATGAAATCTCCTCGAATGGTTTAGTTAATCTGGGGAATTTCTCGAATAAGGCGTGGAATTTATCGTCACGCGAATAAAAAGTTCCGAGGATTCGGTACGCGTTTGTGTGAGCTTTAAAGCCCATGAATTTGCTGTTCGACGAAGTATCGATTAGCTGCAGCCTACGTGAATCGACTAGCAATTCATAGTGCTGTAGGAAATCAATACCTAGTATGGCTGTGGGAACATCAGCAATGATGAACGTCCACAGATACCGTCGTCGGTTGCCCAGGTTGACCGCGAGTTGTCGTGTACCGTAGGTAGGAATTGCTGAGCCATTTGCAGCGCGTAGTCGAAGCATTGTAGCTTGTGACTTGATGATACCTCGTGGTACGACAGAAACTTGGGCACCTGTATCCACTAGGTACCTAGCGTTTGTGCGATAATCGTGCACGTAAAATAAACGGCCAACCTGGGGGGCAGGGCCGGCGAGTACGGCCGCTTTTACTCGCCGGCTTTGGAGTTTCCCGCCTTGTATGAGCACGGGGCTCGACAACGGCGGGCACCAGATCCGAAGGATCGATGAAACCAGCACCAACCTGCACTCGCTTCCGAAGCCGCCTTTTGGCGTGGCTTGGAAGATGCCCTCGTTGGGCGAGTGTTGACGGCTTTTCGAGAGCGTGAGCGGACTCGAGGGACGTAGGGTTGGGGTACGTTACAACGGTCTCGAAAACTAAGACGTGTATGAATACACCCTTCCCTGTCACCTTGAGCCGAGGAGTGGCTGCCGTCGATATCGACTTTCGGACGCGACGTTGAGGCAACTACGTAGTTGTCTCGGTTGCCAGTCCTAGCTAGAATTTTGTCTGCTGTGAGGGCTACCTGTTTCAGTGGTGCGTCTTCGAGCAGAGCCGTAACTGTAGGTTGGATAAATGCTGGTAGAGATTCGAGCCACAGTTCTTTAACAATTTCAGAATCGGCTGCCGTGGGTCCTGCAAGAGATTGCAGGCGCGTGAGGTGGTGGCTCGGTTTAGCATCACCCAGCGGGTGACGTGCTAATAACGTCCTCAATCGTTCCTCCCTCGAAGGAAGGAGATGTCTGAGGACCGCCTCCTTGAGACGATCGTAAACATTGGGCACATTGGAATTGAGGACAACCTCACGGACAGCTACTAAATGGTCTCCCGGTAAACATTCGAGAGCGTAAGTGTACTTCTGCCGTTGGCTTGTAATATGACGGGTCTCAAATTGAGACTCTATAGCAGCAAACCAAACTTCGGGATCGTGAGGAATAAAAGATACAGGTCGAAAGTGTATAACCTGTACGTCAGAGTCTATTACGTTAATATTATTCTTATCGTTATCCGTCATGTCAAATATATATATTAAAAATTAATATGAAAATATATGACAGACGTGGATAGATAAGCGATAGACTCACCAAAATTGACTTCTTTGGAAGGTTTGGTTGCGATTGCCAAGTGGTCGTAGATGTAGGTTCACCAGTTGCAGAAGATTTGACCGAAGTTGAGGCGTGTTCCAAGATTTGGCTCACCAAATGTAGCGTGGTGTCGAGTTGAGCTGAACTATGAACACCGCTACCAGACTACTTGCCAATAGACCAATAAAATTCCGATAGGCCAAAATATCAGAAGGCAGATGATTGTAGTAGTCGTATATATTTGTTGGCGATCTCGTGGTATCGAAAGAATACCGAGATCGTGCCAAAGGAGTACAGTTGCGAACGGCAAGATAAGATACGTGCGTAGTCCAAAAACCGCGTAAAAGCAATGGAATACAATGGAAGCCCAAAATGGCTGTTCTTAGCACAGTTAAACAAACGAGCACAGTAAAACAGTCACTGGTACAATTGGTTATAATAATAATTGTTTTCATCGAACCAATCGTGTTCTGTTGACAAAAGTAGGTCACTACACACTCATAAGGACTGAGGGAAGTATTCATTTACAATTAGTTTTCATTTCTATCTTGACTGTTAAATATGCCTGGGATCATACCTGAAGGTACCAGTCGTCAACTTCTACTAGGTAAGGAACTCTGTTAAGTGAAAACTTCTTTTCAGTCCTCAACCACTTGAAAACAATGCTTTACTTGAAAATAGCATCAGCTGTTATTACTGAGTGCCTAATTATCCTTCTAAGTAACCAAGACTTACTCCCTGTAATAGAGACACAGAGTCCCAGAAACTACTATCAGTGCCTAAAGAATCTCGAAACTTAGAGATTGATTATTGAATATCGGAGGGCGTAACATTTATAAGTCCGGTACGTCAGGATTAAGTGTGCAACTTTTAGTCTTAGTTAGAAGTAATTTGTTCTCAGTTTCTTACTTATTGAAACTTTCGGACGAATTTTTAATGTTCACTATGTCGTTGTTGAGCAAAGAGTTGTTTAGCTTACTATTGGTTAGTTGTCTTAGGTAAAGTATATTTCTTTTCCAATGGCCTAAGGAAGCATTTTTAGGGAATAATTTCAGGTATAGTACAAACTTAGGTTTAAAGTCTATTTTACTCTATTGGTGTGAATCGCCCTGGAGGAATGTTAAGTTTCTTTCGTGATGTAGATTATTGAGACAAGTTATATATCTGGCCTATTATAATTGTCTTGGTGAATGAAAAATTCAACGTTAAGCTAGGTGGTAATTAAAGTCCACATTCCCGGAAATATTTCATCGAGGGACTTGACTCGCACGAAGTTTTTATTGTTTCTAAAGGAATTCCTTAAGATGGAAAATCTTCAAATTGATCCCACTTTTGACTAGATTTATACCGAATTATCTTATGAAATTTTGCGTTCATGTCTCCAAAGTTTTCTCCTGTTCACGCGGAGTTGGTTGTCTCAGGTAACCTAACTTTAACCAGTCTCGGGCTTAATTGTAGCACTTTGAATAAGAGTAAAAGATTGTACATATCTGAGATAACTGGTAAAATGAATGTAGCGTTTGTTACCCACTTTCAGGAAAGTAGATATTCAGTAAGCTTTTGTTTCGATTGAGTAAAACCTTATGAGTAGTTTCGACACAACAAGTGAATCTCCCGGTAAAAGTTGAACACCTGGAAAGTGTCATCTCTACGTCTACAATAAAGTTAAACAAGAATGGAGTGTTGACAGCCCTGACGAACACCACTTGAGGTAATCAGTTCTGATAACAGTTCGCCATAAGCTTTCAATTGACCTGTTGTGTTCGAGTAGAGAGCATTTATAAGGTTGATGTACTTCTTTGGTACTCCCTTCCGTGACAAACACTGCCATAGAGTCTCACGGTCAACGGAGTCAAATGCCGCCTTAAGGTCGAGAAATACTACAGTTGTGGGGCGTCTGAATGTGTGTCCATGTTCTAGGACCTGACGTAATGTGAAAATTTGATCAATACAACCACGTCCAGGTCGGAAACCAGCCTGGTTTTCTCTAGTCTGCTCTTCACGAGCTTTGGTTAGACGTCGAAGTATTATTGAAGCTAATATTTTAGACACTATATTAGTCAAACTAATTCCTCTGTGATTGTCACAGGACTTTTGTCCTTTCTTATAGACAGGGACAATTAGTGATTAAGACCAGTCAGATGGGATTACGTCCAGTTCCTAGATTCTACCTAAGACTTTAGTCGAAAGTGGGGGGAGTCAACTCTTTCTCTCCAAATGCTCTCACATGGCCACGTGTATACAACCACTACCGGGGAAGTCCTACTCACTGCCTTCTCCCAGCATTACTGTTATTTAAGAAATTCAGAGGACGAAAAGCGAATTTCCGACTCTATAACTGGGTTAGTGGACACGATGAGTCCACCTAGGTGAGTTGGAAAGCCTCGATTACAAATCAGTGGTGTACATGGGCTTCAGGATCTCGAGGAAACAAACGGCGTGTAAATCAATTGTTAGTCACCGGCTACCATGGGATCGCATCTCATGACGTTGTTCCGCTGCCTTGTGGATCAGACTTTTAAGTCGAAGGCTCCAGAAGTGGCCCCTTAAGAAAACTATCTGCTTCGGTTTGTGCACCTGGGCAGTATCACAGCGCTCATATAAATCAAATGATTTATGTGGCACATATCTGTTTGATATCTCCTTGTACCAATGTTTATGTGTTTAAATAAATACATAAACAACTTATTTTATTAATTAACTTTGTACAAAGTAATTTCTATAGTTAAGATCATGAGTCAATTAAAGCTAAATCATTATAAAAAACTTGAAAGCACTAGATCACCGTTTCATTTAATTGTAAAACTTCTCAACAATACTCATCCACTTATGCTGCTTCATGAGATTAAACTATAAAATATGAATATATTTATATGAAATATAAAAATCTTTTATGTTTACTTTTTTTTTTATATTTTAGATATGGATTCAGAAATTAATCAATCTAATGTACAAGATATTATACAATTAATAAAACAATCTAATAATGATATAAAATCATTTCAACTTCTATATGAGAAATTAACAAATTCTATATCTATAAATGAATTAAATGATTTTTTAGAAATATTAATTAATCATTTACATGAATTACAAATCAATACTATAAAGAAATTATTATTAGATAATATAAATTTATTACATTGGATTAATTATAATGATTCAATAATTTATAAAAATATTATTAATTTATATATTACATGTATAACATATTATCCTAATTTAATTTATAATTTATGTGATTTTTATATAAATCATATATTTTATTTAAAACATATTATTAATGAACAATTAAATTATCAATATTTAAATCAATTTATTAATTTTTCATTAGAATTTTTTATATCAATTTATCAATTATTACCAATACAATCAATGAATATTGATTTATTAATTGATTTATTAATTAAACAATTTCCAAATTGGCGTAAATCAATTAAACAATTATTTTGGTCAACATATCATATTATTTATATATTATGTCATAAGAAATTATTAAATTTATTAACTAATATACATAAATGTAATCTATTATCAATATTATTTCATATTATTATTGAAATAGAATTAAATCCTAATGGAATAAATTCTAATGAAAATATATTAAAATTATTTGAAAATACATCTATTTATACATTATTTGAAAAATTTGATCAAACGATATTAGAAATTCATTTAAATAATTTCTTTCATACAATTGATCATATTGATTTAATGATTTCTGATAAAAATTGGTTTAAACTTGAATTAATTAGTTGGTTATTAATTACTCATATGAATAGTATAGTATTTATAAAAACAAATAATAATAATAATTCATCCATAGAATTGAATTGGAATTTATTATGTATTATATTTCGTTATATACGTGATTTATTCTCTGAACATATTCTACCAGTTAATATGTATTTAATAGGTTATCCAATAATATGTTTTTATATATGTAGTTTACGTGGTGGTTTAATTATTAATTTTATTGATTTCTTATGGAATATTATTAAAAATAATCAACGTGATGAAAATAGTCGTTTAATGGCATTAAATTATTTATGTTTTATATTAATTAATGGTAAATTTTGTTATATTGAATTAATTATTGAAATAATGCATGATCTAGCTACATGGTGTATTGATTATACTTATCGTAATCGTATACATTTAATACATTGTCATTCAACTAATTTATCATTATTATTATTATCACAGAATAAAATTTATTATGCTATATGTAATGTATTAATTTATATATTTGTACAATTACATTCAGAATTATTAAATGAACAATATTTGGATAGTTGTAATCGTTTACCAATAGGACAAATTTTATTATCACCATATAAACCATTATTATATATACCAATAGAATTACGTCATATTTTTTTTTATATTATATCAAAATATCAATTAAATTGGTCTATGATTAGTTTAACACAATTAATTTATGAAAAACAAACAGATATAATAATAATAATAATAATGATATATCATTAATGATAGAAAAGATTCAATTCATAAAACCAAATGAAATTATTTATATACCAAAGAATAAATGTTTATTATCATTATCATTAACAATTATAAATAGGTTATTTCGTAATATTAATATAGGAGAATGTTTAATAAATCAACATACAAAAAATTATACAAAATCAACAACAATTTCATCAATATCATCTTTTCATAAAAAACGTAAAACAGAAACAAATATTGAAGAAAGTAATAATAATAATGAATCTATTTCAAAAGTGACTAAGGGATCAGAATAGATTTATTTGTATATACTTATATATATGGATATATATTTCAATCTTTGGTATTTTTCTATTGTTTATTGTATTTGTACATATTCAATAGTTAATTTTGGAATTCTAATAAACTTTTCTGTGAATATGTGTTTTGTTGTTGTTGTTGTTGTTGTTGTTTTTTTGTTTTTTTTTTCAGTATCTCAGTCCGTTCGGTGAATAATGTCTAAGTTTTTTTTTACTGAGTTCGAATGCTTTTTATTGTAATTGGATAATGACTGAATAAGGTTTTAATAAACAGCTCTTTTGTCATTCAATAAAACTTTATAGTGTAAACTCTTGATGTAGAACAATATGCTTCTGTGTTATTTCTACTTTAAACAATTAGCTTAGTTTTCGTATCTGATATTTGAACTGTGACTACATCTCTAACATGTCCTCGAGTATTACTACTGCCATAGTTCGTCCTTTTAAATGTTATGTTTCATCAGTCAGTCAGCTACAACGTAGGATCAGGCACATATATGCATCGGTCCAAATTGCCATACCGCATTAGCACAACAAGATAAACACCAAATTCATAAAAGTAGTTAATTCAGTGGTAGTAATGTATAAAAGAAAGATTGTATATAACGATAAAGTACAGGAAGAAAGACCTTTGTCGGTACCTTGACATGGTGGTAGGGCTTACCTATCGTGATGAAGCAACTGAGCTATACTGGCTGGAACAACGGTTCCTAAAGGTCCTACCATGCTAGACAGGTCGGTTGAATACCGGTAAGATTAAAATCAAGAAACCCAAGTCCTAAAAGCGAAATCGTACTGCTGACTGTACAGAGATGTGACAGCAGTAAGGTTTTTCCCTCGGACAACCAGCATAACACCGATGCTGCCTTCCCACAAGGAGAGGTGGGGTTAGAAAAGCTTGACCCTGAAAATACACACCTCACCTTATCCGACGGATATCCGTCTCCGGTGGTAAGGTCTCTCAGCAAGTACGGACCTAACACAAAAATTACTCATAAAAAGGTAGTGTGTGACCGACCTCAAGGAGTTATACCTTGGGCACTGCGGTCATGCTCTGAAGTCACTAAGACCACCTCTAATCCAATTTCCTTTTCATTCACCTCCAGAAGAACCTTTCCACGGTGTTGGCAACTGGGAAGTGATAACCACCCTCATTCCCGACCGTAGCTGCTACTTTGACGTGGTGGTCGGCCTTACCTATCATGATGACTCAACCAAGCTATATTGACTGGAACACATGTTTCTGCAGGTTCTACAATGCCAGGCAGGTCGGTTGGAGAACGGTAGGACTAAAAACAGCAACTCAAGGTCTGAGGGCGAAGTCGTACTGCTGACTGTACAGAGGTGTGACAGCAGTAAGGTGTTTCCCTTCGGACGACCAGCATCTACAGCGATGCTGCCTTCTCGCAAGGAAGGAAGGGGTTAGAAAAGGTTGACCCTAAAAATGTCACACCTCACCTTACCCCACGGATTTCCGTCTCCGGCGGTAAGGCCGTTTGAAGAACGGGTCTAACACATTAAAAACCTCCCACAAAAAGACCGTGCACGACCGGCCTCAAGCAGTTGTCCCTTGGGCTCTGCGATCACGCACCCAGGTCTTCAAGACCAACACAAGTTCGATTTCCTTTTCAGGTTCATCAAGAAATACCCTTCCACGGTGTGGGCAACCGGGAAGTGATATCAGCCCTCATACCCGTAACAGCACACGAGACCACGTTGGTCACATTCAAATCCTTCCTACACCTCCTAATAACTCTTTTATCTCCACGACCAACCCTCCTCACGTCCCTTTATCACCTCGCCCTGCTAGTGCAAACGAGTCGAGTACGCGGAACGTTATTCCTGGTCTCCTGAAACAACGCTCCAAACTACACGTAGGAGCTTTCAACGTCCGAACACTGTGCCAAATAGGACAACAGGCTTCCTTAGCTAAGACTTTAGAATCTCGCTCCATCGATGTGTGCTGAGTCTCCGAAACGCGCACACAGGATCCTAGTAGTGTCATTCATTTGACGGCACAATGTAAAAGTAATGAACCAACTCGATTTACGCTTCGTGTATCTGGAAGCCCTGATGCTGCTTCCCGTGGCCTCGCTGGCGTAGGTATAGCATTGAGTCTTAGGGCAGAACAAGCTCTCTTAGACTGGATCCCAGTAGACAGTCATTTGTGTGCTGTCCGACTAAACGGAACAGTAAGGACTCGAAAAGATAGGGACACTCGTCGTTGCCTCTGCCTACTCTCCCACTGACTGCAGCTCAGATGATGTAAAAGATGAGTTTTACAGAAAGCTTTCCGATCTTCTCCGAAAAGCTAGGCGTTCAAATGTAGTAATAGTGGCTGGTGACTTTATTGCTCAAGTAGGTAAACTAAGCGAAAGAAAAAGACACCTGGGTGGATCTTATGGTGTCGCGGCTCAAAGAACAGATAACGGCGACCGTCTGTTGCAGCTGTGCTCAGATAACCGCCTGTTTCTTGCAAACACTAACTTTAAGCATAAGGAAAAACATCTTTTAACATAGCAACCCCCTAATTCGTCTCAACGCTGGACCCAAATAGATCACATCGCTATCAGCCACCGATGGAGGGGCTCGATAGAAGACTGTCGCTCATTCTGGAGCACATGCTTAGATTCAAATCATTCTCTAGTGCGAGCGCGTATTTGTCTACGTCTTACTGGACGTAGGAAACATGCTGCAAGGAAACCCCTTAGGGTCCTACTTAATGATAGTCAAGCTAAGAGTATATTTCAGGAACAACTAGAAAAACAGTTAGGCAGCCATGTAAGTGATACCCACCCCGAGGCAGCATGGAATGATATCCAAAAAGCTGTAGAAAAAGCAGTGATGTCTGCAAGTACGGTAAACCATAAGGTTAGGGAGAAACACTGGATCTCCGTAGCATCTACCGCACTGATAGATGCTCGTAAACTCATTCCATTTGGCTCTGAACATAACGAAGAGCGGAGTCAGCTTAAGCGTAAGCTGACTAGAAGCTTACGCAAAGATCGTGAACAGTGGTGGGTAGCGAAAGCGAAAGAGATGAAAAAGGCAGCAGCAATAGGTAACAGCAGGCAACTGTTCAGATTTGTTAAGGGAACCGGTATTAGGAACCCAACTGTTAGCGAAACAATCTCAGAGAAAGATGGACATATTATTCATTCTCAATCCAGGAGATTGGATCGATGGGCAGAACACTTTAGGGATCAGTTCAACTGGCCTTCAGCCACACTTCGGTTTCCCACGATCTCCAGTCGACCTGAATGGCAAGTTGATGTAAGTCCTCCGACTCTTTACGAAGTTGAAAAAGCTATAGGAAATCTGAAGCGTGAGAGAGCAGCAGGCCCTGACAGGTTTACCCCTGAGATTTTTAAGGATGGCGGTCCAGTATTAGCAGCGAGATTGACTGAGGTCATAGGTAGAATCTGGGAACTGGACGTAATCCCATCTGACTGGTCTCAATCACTGATTGTGCCAGTCTATAAGAAAGGACAAAAGTCCTGTGACAATCACAGAGGAATTAGTTTGACTAATATAGTGTCTAAAATATTAGCTTCAATAATACTTCGACGTCTAACCAAAGCTCATGAAGAGCAGACTAGAGAAAACCAGGCTGGTTTTCGACCTGGACGTGGTTGTATTGATCAAATTTTCACATTACGTCAGGTCCTAGAACATGGACACACATTCAGACGCCCCACAATGGTAGTATTTCTCGACCTTAAGGCGGCATTTGACTCCGTTGACCGTGAGATTCTATGGCAGTGTTTGTCACTGAAGGGAGTACCAAAGAAGTACATCAACCTTATAAAGGCTCTCTACTCGAACACAACTGGTCGAGTGAGAGCACGGATACAAAAGGCTCGACTAGCTTTTGCCAACTTGCGTCATTTATGGCGTAGGCAAGATATCCGTCTATCAACCAAAGGACGTGTTTACTGCGCAGCAGTTCGTTCCGTCCTACTTTATGGCAGTAAAACATGGCCAGTAAGAGTCAATGATATTCGTAGGTTACTAGTATTTGACCATAGGTGTCTTCGAAACATCGCTCGTATATCCTGGGACCACCGAGTAAGTAATGCAGTTGTTATGAAACGGGTACTAGGTAAGGATGGTAAATCAATTGATGAAGTAGTGAAACTTAATCAGTTGAGATGGCTGGGACATGTGTTGCGCATGCCCGACCACCGACTGCCCCGACGTGCTATGTTTTATGGTGTAGGAGTAGGTTGGAAGAAAGCTAGGGGCGGCCAGACCGAAACATGTCAGAAATCCATGAAGTCACTGACAAGTGGACTGAGTCATGTTGGTAGGTGTAGACTACCTGGTTGGGGACCGCGAGATGATAGCAACCGATGGTTAGAGACCTTGAATGACATGGCTCAAAATCGTTTGCAATGGCGCAGGTGCATCCTTTATTTTCTTTCCCAATTTATTCCACTGGACTATACTCCTTTAATAACATCATCAAACCTTAATGTCCCCTATCTCTACTTATACTTTCAGTACCTCTACCACTATGTGATTTGAATCGATAACTGAATCTCTGTGCTAATGTGGTATGGCGACTCGAAGTGATGTACGTACGTACGAAGTTCCACGTTGTTACTGACTGACTGACTGACCTCTAACAGCACTGAAGACCACTGTATTCATAATCAGCCTCTCTCTTCAATTCCTATTATTCCTCCTATATCGACTTTCAACTCTAAACTTCCTCTTTCG